CGTTGCTTGGTAGTAAACGTTTTCTAACAAAAACAAATTCTTTGTATTAATTGAAAGGTCTGCATTGGCTGCTAGCACACCCCACGCAATATGGAACATCAAATTTATTTTTAATTTTTATTGTTAAAAAAAAAATTGTAACTTTTATATAACAAATAACACAATTGACAAATATAGTTTAGATTTTTTAATCATATTATTCTAATATATTATATTTTTTGCGTACAAAGAGAAAACCTTAGTAAAAACAATAAAATATCTTCGACTATTTTCTTATAATAGTCAAATATTTATTTTACTGATGTCCCTATCTATCTTTTTTGTTTCTTGATTGTTGTCCTCTTTTCAACCATATAAAAAAGTCAGTGCATGCATTGTAAGATGTTGAAACATTAAAGACAGAAATCAAAGTTGGTGATAAACTCAGACTATTGGATTGGTATTGAAAATTCCAAGACAACTTAATAAGGAAGAATCATATATGCAATCACCCCAGTCCAAATCATTATATTTAAGGAAAATGATCATACAAATTCATATCATTTTTGTAAATAACTCTATTTTAATATTATAATAATAATTTTATTTTATTTTTATTTTTATTAAATCAGTCTATAGATTATTATATTAATAAAAATGAATTATTTGAAGGGTTTTATAATTTCTAATTATCAAAATATCACCACTCTATATTTAATTCAACTTAATTATAAAAAAAAATCATAAGGTTGATTAATTAGTATGTATTAGAGAGAATGAAATAATTGATAATTTTGATTTTTGAGCCTGCTTTATTTATTCTTTCTAATCTTTAAATTTAGCGTCTCAAGGATGAGACTATATTAAAATTTAAATAAAATAAAATATAAATGTTAAATAATTAATTATAATTAGATATTTTAATATATAAAATAGTAATTTTTTTAATTTATCTAATAAAAATATTAATTAATAAATAATTTTTTAAAATTATTTATATAATTAAAAATATATTTATTAAAAAATATATAAAAAAATATATTGGTGAACTCACATGTGAACCGTGAATAAGATGAACAGGAATATGACTCGTTTTATCTTATTTTTTATGATTAAAAAAAAAATGGGTGGACGGTTTTATTTTGTCATTTTAAATTATAACTGGATTCAATCAAATTTCTTCATCATTTAAATATTTTAAAATAATACGAAATAAAAAAATTGAAAGAAAATATAATAAAAAAATCAATATCTTTTCTTGAAATATAAACTAAAAAATTAAGAATAATTACATATTAAGCTTTTTTTTATACAGTGTAACTATAGTTTTGCCCCTTTCTTTACCATAATTGTTCCCCTGAAAATGAAAGGAAAAGTACTTTCCTTTTTCCTTTTCCAAAAAAAAAAAACAAAGTAAAAGTTAAAACTAAAGCAATTGTCCTAATTATTTTTCTTAAATTGGTAACATGGTCTGATAATATTAAAAAAAAAAAATTACTGTTATGCATCAATGGATCAGTGTTATTATGTTCTGAGTACATTTTTGGTAAGTACTTTTTGAAAAATAAGAATAATTTTTTTCCTTGTAAAACTCAACATTTAATTGATCATAAGAATTTCACTCAATTTTGTTGTTTATATATTTATTGTGGAAATATTTATATTTTGTTTAGAGCGTTAAAAACATTTTAACATTTTTTTTTTCAATGGTCAACAAGTATTATTTTTTTTATTACTATTTTATTAAAAAGAAGAAGAAGAAGAAATTGAGTGTGATTTACCATTGTAACCCAAAAGCTAGACCTAAATATGAAATGACGTAGAATTTAACTTTTAGTCTAACTCACTTTAAAACTAGATTAAAAAAAATTATCTCTTACTAATGTATACTATTTCATTCATATTATTCTTTTACATTGTATCTTCAATAGATTTAAACTGGCTTTCCCTGTGCCAGAATCATCCATGCATTTTGATTCATGTAGGACCCTGAAAACTTGTAGAGAACTCTCATGGAAGTAGTATAATCACCAATATCTTGATAAAGATTTGTTTAAAACCATAGCTAGACTTTACAACCATTTTCATTTGAGTGGTTACTTTCCAGTAATTATGATTTCTCTAAAAGGTAGAACAGATAGAGGCACCACTAGGGTCAACCAATATGCCTAGAGTGTATTGCATGGAAACCTATAGTTTCCATGAGATTCATAAATCATTCCTCTACACTTGAATAGCATCATCCATTTCCTGAATTACCTTGACAAGACAGAAGAAGCACCCATGGTAATTGGTAAGTTGCATATATATGGTGGCACATGGCAGATTTTATACACATCCATGGAGGAGATAGAATGGTTGCACATTTTCTATCACAACATGGCATTGCAAAATATGCATGAGTTCTTCACCAATCATAGCAAGTCTTGGATACAAGATTAGTTGAAATTTAACTTCTTCTTATCTCAGTAGCTACTGTTATAAGCAGCTATTTGCAGCATTGACATGAAACGTCCAGTTTAAACAGATTCACGAGCTTCATAATCACTAATCACTGTACTTAGTGTGTGTTTGGATAAACATCAATGAGATTATGTAATTTATGTTTAGATGTTTTTATTATAAAGACAAGTTAATAGTAAATCCAGTATAGTTTTTTTATACGCAGTATAAGAACATATACAAAATTATTTTAAATTACTTAACTCAAATTTAACATAATTTGGAGAATTCAGTGTTAAATATTTGTCCTTAGGATCATTTGATAATTATAACTAGTCGGCATTTTTGAATTGTGATTATTTTTGGGAGGGATGATTTTTATAAGGAACAAATGTTCAATCCAAACAATTTCTGTCTTAAATAATATTAAAAAAATTATTAATTACCAAAATAAACTTTTCTATTTTATTTATCCAAATAGATTTGTTTACTAATTAAGGGTTAGGATTGGATACCGAATTTAGAACGAGAACGTATCACGCTTGAACCATAAAAGCAGTTTGGGTGTTTTTTTTAGCCGCTTATATTTATGACTTAAAATATATATATATATATATATATATATATATATATATATATATATACGTGTGTATATATATATATATATGTATACGTATGTATATATATATATATATATATGTATATATTTATATATGATAATAATTTAATCATTATATATTAATATATTTTAAATATTTATATGCTTATATATATATATATATATATTTATATATTGATATAATTAAAAATTATTATATTTATATTCTATGTTTGTATAATATATATATATATATATATATATTTAAATATTAATATATGAATATAATTATATAATTTTATATGTTTAGATAATTAAATATTTATATATGTAAATATATTTTTAAATAATAACATATATTAATAAATACATATATTTGTATATTTAATAAATACATATTTATATAATTATATATTTATTTATATTTCTATATTTAATTAATACATATTTATATATTTTGATATATTTAAATATTTGTATACAATTAATAAATATTATATAATAAAAATATTTAATATATATATATATATATATTTGTATATTTAAAATATATAAATATAATAAATTTTAATTAAATCAAATATATAAATATAATAATATTTACTTATATCATATGTATAAATATACGTATATATATATATATATATATTTTTTTTTTAAAGTCATAAATATATGCAAGCTGCTGAAAAAAAAAACGTAGTTTGAATTCTCACGATTTTTATGATTCAGCATGTCCCATTCTAAATTCGATTTTCCGAAATCGAATTCTAATCTTGCAAAATAAACGATTCTATTTGAGTAAATAAAGTGGGTGAAAGTCTATTTTTATCATTAATAATTCTTTTAATAATATTTCAGACAAAAAGTCGCAAACAAAAGAAAATATATTTTGACAACGTAGTTTAAAAAAAAACAACTATTTGATAATTCATTTATAATGATATATTAATATTTTTTATTATACTATTATAAATAAGTTATCGTTATTTTAAAAATTTAAGTTATTAAAATATCATATCCTAAAAATAAATAGTGTGTTTATAGAAAAAACTTTCTTTTGTCCATTGTAACGTGGAAAATAACTTTTTTTTCATCATAAGTGAAATCTTAAAGCTTACGATTTAGAGTTAAGCAAATATTTTTTTTACTGGATCAAGTTATAAATGAAATCTAATATTAATAATCATTTAATATTTTATACTGTGATTTTCCTATATAATTAAAAAAAAATTAAAGAAAAATTTTCACATAAATATATTCAATTGTAAAGTTATATATTTTTATTGAATTTCATTTTACAGTTAAGCAAAATGTCAATGGATTCTCCTTCTGACATACTTATCCATGATTATTAGAGAGGGAATGAAACATTTTTTACTTTAATTTTAAGTTACAGAACCATCGATTGTTACATTATTATTACACGATGATTTGATAAAAAATATGAAAAATTTATAGAAAAATCAACATTTCAAAATAAAACTCACATAATCATTAATGCATTTTTTAAGAACTCACATCAAATCTCAATCCTAAGCATGGAACAATTTCAGTTCAACCAAAGAAACTCGAGAGTAATGTGATTTCCAAGCATTCATGCAATACGCTGCAGAACTTATTGGGAACTCTAATACAAGTAGCAAAATTACAAGATGCGGCAAAAGATGAATTTAAAACTGTAGCTAAACTATTTTACAACCATTTCAGGCTCAACCAATATGCCAATAACATATATCCTCAGAAACCTATCGTCTCTCCTTAAGTTCATAAATCTTGGCTGAAAATTTCATCAAGTAGCTCGACAAGAAAGAAACACCTGTGGTACTTGGTAAGTATGTGATGGCAGATTTATACACATCCTAGAACAGAGGAGTTGAACAAATTGCTTGTGACAGAATGGCAGGAGAATCCATATCATGCATGAGATCTTCCATAATCTGAAGAAATTTTGCTCAGCCTTGATGGCTTTTAATTACAATAATCAACAGGTTCTTATAAGCTTTGGTCTCCACATTCTAACAAACCAACTACTTTCAACAGGCTTCTGATCCATGGTCCGTTTCTTGCTATTTGTTTCAGTATCCTGGAAAGCTTCCACTCTTGCCACACTCTTCAAGGGCAATTGTGGACTAGAACTGGATGAAGATTCTACCATCCCATTGACCATTTCCAAAACCTCACTCATCTTTGGGCGATTCTTTGGATTTTTTACCAAGCATCGGTTTGCTATCATAGCAAGTCTCTGGGCTGACTTGAAGATTTGCTTCTTATCAAGTCTTGGATCTAATATTAGTTGAAATTTCTTCCCATCTGATAGGTATGGCCTTATCCATTCCAAGAGCTTCTGCTCACCCTTGGGGCGATTTCGATCTAAAGGGCGCCTACCGGTGATGAGTTCATAGAGGAAGACGCCGTAGCTCCACACATCATTCTTGGATGTTAGACGTCCAGTTTGAACATATTCAGGAGATGCATATCCCATTGTTCCCACAACCTGTCAAGCGTAGACAGCCATATGAACAAGAGTAATAATACATTGAGTCACTGGATTCCACTTTTTACGGTATGGTGCGACTGTTTGAACAATATGCTATACACTTGAACAACAAAAGGGGTAACCTAACCATCTACATGCCCATGTTGAAATAACAGTGATAAAATGAAAGCTGAGTTTAGATTGAGTATTCTATTAGAGTATACATTAATCGCTTCTGTAATTTGTTGTTTACTGTTTTAGTTAGTTAAAAAATAGTCATTAGTTGGTTTCTTTACTCTGTGCTATTGTTACTTAACTGTGATCTATTAACTCTAGTTAGTAGCTTTTCTGTACAGCTATAAATAGCTTTTATTCACTTTCATAAGGTAACTTTTGCATCATTCAGAATTAATAAATCTTCTCCTTTTCTCTGCCATATAATTGCATTATGATATAAGAACCTATCCTAGATCCATTTATACACGTACAAAGCCTAATAGTGTTGGACTTGAGGAAGTGTATTGGGAAAAACCTAGGTTCCCAATCGACTGAAAAAATGTCAAAATAAGTATATATGTGAAGGCAATACTCACTTTACAAATCAATTTTGTAGGGTTAAATTAGGTCTAAACCACTTTGTAAGAATGATCAAAATGAAATTAATCGTTACATACATTTAGCTTCCATAGATGGTTATCAAAAGACACCATGAGAGTTTCTAATGATTTTCAGTACTGAATCAAGATTCATTCTATTATATTGCTCATATATATATATATATATATATATATATATATATATATACAACTTTATTCAGCCCCATTAGATCAGTAGTATCTTTACAGACAATTAAAGATTCACTCCTAGCCTTATGTTGAAATTTTCTACTTCCTTGTTTAAATAATCACTAATAAAGATCAATTACTATCTTTGCAGGTTAGCAATATTTACCGCAGTTGAGACATGAGTCAGTCCATCTGATGGTCCCAACCTTGCTAACCCAAAGTCTGATAGCTTTGCATTCCACTGTTCATCCAAAAGGATATTTGAAGATTTGAAATCTCTGAAAATTATCTACACAATGCGCACACAGTTAGAATAACAGTAATTACACAATGCGCAATACAGATCTGAATGGGAAATAAATTATGACATTGATCAAAGTGTTTAAATTAACTCCTCCCAGATCCCTTTATTCCTTTTAAGGTAAATTACACTTCTCTCTCAAAAGATATGCTTAAATTACACTGCCTTCCCTAAGAGATTAATATGTTTTACGCTTTAGTTTATTTTAATGTAAACACGCTTCTTACAACTAGTTTTCCAATCTTTCTGATCCTTAGTTTCCCAGAACTCTGAAATTGGGAAACTGTGTTTTTCATATTTGGTTTACCCTAACATCCTCACAAAAAGATTCTTATGAGACCTTCGATATGATGTATGGACTAGAACCATTTTGAGGTCCAACTTGTAGGACTTTGGTATAAAAACATCGTTTCATCATTTTAAAGTCCTAAAATCTATGTAAAATACTAAAATCAATGATAGGATGCCTAAAACTAGTTAAAGTTGCATAGAGGAAAAATGTCACTATGAAGCTCATTATAAGTCATTTACATTAAATGAACTAAACAAACACATTTCATGTCATAAGGGAAGGAGTGTAAATTTTAACCTAAGAGAGACTGTGAGAGGAAAGTATAATGTAAGCATGCTCCACGTGAGGAGAGAGTAATTCATCCTTTTCCTTTTGGGATGTGGCCATCTGAGGTATATAAATGTGCAGCAAAAGATTTCTTGACAAAGGCTTATTAAATTGAATAGGAATTTGTGAAACTTGTGCTACAAACCTATACCTGAAAATCCATTTGTTCATGCAGGTATGTTAAACCACGAGCTGCATCTTGAGCTATTTTCAATCTTCTACTCCATGAGAGAGGAGCCTCTGATCTGTGAGATAGATGGTGTTCCACACTTCTGTTTGGCATGTATTCATAAATTAGAAGCCTCTGGATTCCTCTTTCATCATCATCTGCACAGTAACCCACTAGTTTCACAAGATTCGGATGCTCAACAACGCCCAGAACGTTCACTTCTGTCACCCATTCCCTGTGCCCCTACAAGCCAAAAGTAGTTTACCAAAATTAAAGTGGAGAAAACAATACATAGGAATAAATAACTCCTATCTTCAATGTCAATAATATCATCTTAGTGTGTTTATTAACATGTCTGAAACGCACATCCAAACCACATCCTACAGAGAAGCTACTCTTCACATCTTCTCTAGTTAACTTTAAATATGTGCATATCATGTATGTACATATTACAAAATAACTACACACTAGCTCATGGCAATGACTTCAGTAAGATAAAAACATAAGTCAAACTATTACCTGCATTCCCCTTTTACTAAGCTGTTTAACTGCAACTTCAATTCTTCCAGAGGGGTCCTCCACACTTTTAATCAGTCCTAGGTAGACACACCCAAACCCGCCCTCTCCAATCATAACAGAGCGACTGAAATTCTTTGTGGCTGATTTCAGTTCAGAAACAGTAAACACTCTGAGGTTGCTGACCCTCTGGGACAAACTCGGTATTGCATTCCTCCTGAGGGATTCTGCGCTGCCATTGTCTGAAACTTCCTGAGAATTTAACTCAGAACCAGATCTTCTAACATCAGCATTTGTGGAATTGTCTGACCGACCCGATGTTGACTGCAGGCTTTTTGGCTCATCTTTCTTCTCCCCATAGGAGAATGTAAAACACTTCATTGCTGCTGACTGGACTGCATTTTCATTTTCAGAAGAGAAAAGGAATGTTGAGATTTTGAGATTCATTCAAAAGCAACACCGAGTCTTAAGTCATATATATGATGAAGAGTCCTCAAATTGAATTCAGAAAGAAAAAAACACCTACTTGCATCAAATAACCATATCATCAAACACCTTCCAAAGCAGCCTTATCGGCCTAATTGCCCTGTGAACATCTCCAATTTCAGATAACAAAATACAAATGTTTTCAATCAATTAAATATTTTTCATATTCCTTTTACCCCAACAAAATTTAAACAATTCAACAGCATTCAGAGAACCAACCCCAATCTAAAAGGTGCCCCAATTGGTCATCCATACTAATAGAAACTAAGTTTTGCTTTTGGGAAATACTAAAGAAGTAAATTTTTGTCTTTGGGGATACTAAATCTCCATACTTTCAGAAATACTAACAGAAACCATCAATCCATGACAAATAAGTCAATTTTTTAAAACTAAAGAAAAGGTTAGAATTGGTAATGAAAACAAAAAATTGTTTTTGGGAAACACGTTAAGAATAGAAAGTGTCCAAATTGGTAATCCATATTACAATTTGAAAGAGTAGAAGCCCAGTATCGTTTGAACCGTGGGAAGGAACATATGGGATCAGTTACACGCTCCCTCATACAAAAGGAAAAACAATAAAAGGAGAGATTTTGAGGTGAACCTCACCTGTGGTGCAAAGGAAAGTTTTGATCTAACAGGATTCAGATGTTGGAAGTCCCCCTTGGGTCAAGATTCTGAAGAGGACCAGCCCCATTTCATTTGCCTCCAAAATTGGAGACCTTTGAGGACGAACAGAGGAAGAAAGAGTGGTCAAGAGAAGATTCACAGGGCAACAGCTGCTGGCTTGGTCGTCACCTTAGTTTACCAAACAAAGTAGAGGCTAATAAAGTAGTATCAAATAATCATAGATTCATTGAGTTGGAAAAAAGAAAAGAAAAAAGGAGTGTGAAAAGGGTGTTGTTTTGTATTTGACTCTAATAAGAAGCATTACTGAATAGTGCCGCAAGAGACGGAACAAACAGTTTGTGTCATCAAACTCAGTATCCACATTCGTCACATCTTCATACGTATATTTAAAATATAGACTGAATTTTCTTTTAGATTAACCATTAAACGTGGAATACTTTAAAATCACAGGATGCAGACCTTAAATTAAAAAAAAAAACATTATTTGCAACATGTTAATTAGATCTTTGTTAAAAACACATGTTTATTTTATTTTATTTTATTTTCACTACTTTCACTTCATGTCACTCATCCTTTATTATATATAAAAGTAAATTATTGGAATAAAACCAAAAATTGAAAATTTATAAGGAAAAAAAGTATTTAAGTCTATAAATTTTAATACTTTTAGAAGATTATAGCTATAATGCATTAAAGTGCGGAAATCACATAACTTCAGATAACATTTATTTTTATAAATATCTTGACCCGTTCAATTCTTTTAAACTAATGGAAGGAATAGTGGATAGTGAAGTGCAGAGATGAATATTTGGACGAAATGACGTAACTTTTCCGTAACGTGAAAAGGAAAAAGATGTAATTTGGAAGGAACATGGAAGAAGCCCTAGGCTTTGTTTTCCAGGTTGACTGAAAAGGTTGAAGAGAAATTGAGAAGTTCAGAAAATAACAAAACTAATAGAGTCTTTAGTGTTTGACTCACCTTTTTTTTCAGTATAAATATTTTATTAACATTTATTGTTCTTTTTCTTACACATGCAATTGATATTAATCTTAGGATAATTAATGGCGTGTTTGGCATAGATAAAAGAAATAGGTGTGAAGAAAATAAGTTGGCAAAATGAAAATAACTGAAAAATAAAGGAAGAAATGAATGTGTTTGGTTAATGAGAAATAGAATAACATATATAAGGAAAACGAGACTATTAGAAATAGATAATAAACGTGTAAGTTGTTCCACTATTTTATATTTTAAATCGTGATTCATAAAAAGGAATATAAAAACAGTTTATATTATTTTATATAAATAGTATAACAATATTTTATTGAAACATTTTATTCAATTTTCCATTTAAAAATATCATTCATGTATTTACCGGTGATATATTAAAAAAAATTCAAATATAATTTAGATAAGTTTTTTTTTTAATTTTAAATTTTTTTAAAATTAAATCAAACTTAATTAATATTTATTATTTGAATTAAATAAATTTCATGGGTTTTTAAGTATAAAATGATTAAATATATTATATTATTTAATAATAATGAAACATATTATATATATATATATATATATTTACTTATGTAGTCATGATTTTTATTTATTCAAATATATTAAAAAATTAATTAATTTACTCATAATTAATCTTATTTCATATTTTAATTTTAATAATATATATTATGATTTTAGTTTTAATTGGTTTAGTTTAGATTAATTCTTATTTATCAAAATTGAGAATTGAAATATTGATTGACTTTAAAAAAAATGATTTTCAATTTTATTATTACATCCTTCCGTTTTGAACACCTGTAACCCTCGTTTCTTAACAATCTGAGCATTGCTTGCTACCAGCATACGATTGAAAGCTACTTCAAAGAAAAAAAAAAGTAAAACCAAAACCTTAACATTAAATACAATGCAATATATGAAACCAGCTTTTCGAAACTCTGCTCACTACTGCCACGCCTTTTCTCGTTCCTTAACCTTAAACCCTAACTCTCTTCTCGTGTACCCGTTTCGGAGACCCGAAACTTTTTGCCTTTTATCCCCTGTTTCGTGCTTCTCCTCCTCAATGGCAGTGCCTCCATCGTCGTTAGAGAAGCAGTTCGACGCGTTTAGGGTTCAGCTCGAACAATCTGGAAAGCTGCGTGACCAAATTCGAAGCGTTGTTTCGGAGATTGAGTCCTCCACTAGGCTCATCTATGCGACTCTTCTTCTCGTTCACCAGTCTCGCCCCACTCCCGGTACCACCGAACACACTATGTTCCTGTTCTTTCCTTAATCCTAACTACACGAGTTTTCCTGTAATTTTTTTTTGCTCTTTTGGGCCGATGATGGGTTTCTCTGCCATGCACTTGTTTTGTTCAAATGGGTTTGTTTTATATGGATTGTATGTTAAATAGACAGCTTCAAAACCCAAACTTGTGTTCCGCATTTTCTGGTTTCACTTTACTTGGTTATCCATTTCATGTTTGAGATGAATTTTGAGCGGTGAAGTGTGATATGTTTATTTTGTTAATGGTGTAGCTCGTTGTAGCAAGGCAACTGTGTTATGTTATTATCTCACGGGTATTTGTTTTTTTGGGTTTGAATAGAGCTTTTAGAGAAGGCCAAGTCTCAAGTCAATGTGTTAAAAGAGCAGTATAAGCAACTTGCTGAAGTTCTTGGAGGAAGTCCTGGGCAATACCATAGGTGGCTAAGTTCGGAGGAACTGCTCATCTTTTATTTTATTTGTTTTATTTTTTTGTGATTGTCACTTTGTTTTTTATTTTTTATTTTTGTGTAATGTAGGTATCATGGTGACTGGAGGAGTGAAACACAGACTGTAGTTTCGATGCTTACGTTTATGCACTGGCTTGAAACAGGAAGCCTTCTCGAGCATAAAGAGGCTGAGGAAAAACTTGGGTGTATGTCTCAACACTCTCGTGTTACATATTAGCTTATCAATCAATGTTTTATTCCTTAGGTAGGTAGGTATGCATGCATGCATTTGATGTCATTGTGAATATTAATGACTATTTAATAATTGAATGCGATATGAAATCCTAAGTTTCTAAGCGGCAGGGGATTGGCGGTTCAAACTGGTTTCTTTTTGTAAAGTTAAGCTTCTGCATGCAATGTTGGTAGAGTTTCATCACTAGGCAAAATATTGATGGCCATGGGATGTACCATATTATAATCCAATACCTTATAGCTTGACAGGGAGAAGGGAAAATAAAAGGAACCTCATAAAAAAGGGCAGAATAGGTTGCCAATGGCAATAATAGGCATTAGCTGTACAGATTTCACATATTGTTCTCAAGATCACCATATCATGCATGGAGGCATGTTGCATCATAGAAGAAAGGTCCATTGTTATTTCCCACCTAACAATATCCTGCTGAATGGATTGTTATTTTTGGTATAATAAATGTCCTGCAGAATTTGTCAATTGTTATTGCCTGCCGTTTTAGCATTTTGCATCGAGATAATCTAAATCTAAATGAAGTTTGCACTTTACTTTGGAGAATGGTAAGATCAAGGAAGGAACTGGTTCTTACACATAATTTATGATCTATTATAAGGCTCTTGTCAGTTATAAAATTCTAAACTACTCATTTTCCTATTGGTGGGTATCAACTCCATACTTTAAAATTTAAAGTGCGTCCTACATGTGTTAAAAGTACCAATGCTTGCATTTAAAGGTTGTATAATCTGGAATACCTTTGAATTCATTGTTTTACATTTAAGGGTCTAAATCAGAGAGCTAAGCATCTTTTGGACAGTTAAATTTTCCAACCTTTCGCAATACTATTTTAAATTACAAGACGCATAGGATTTAGGATTGTAGTAAACTTGTATGGTTGATAGTTTATGTCTATTTCGATGATTGAACAAATAGTTTATTTATCTTCTATATGCACCATGCCGTACATGTCTTTTGTCACTCAGAATAAGTAGAAGCAAATTGTGTTGTTTTTTCCTTTCTGTTTTTTTTTTTTGTCATGATGTCAATCACTTTTCATACATTCCTAGTCATTGAGATTTAGAAGTTCTGTATGCTTATTGTTATTTTGCAGTGAATTCAGACTTTGGTCTAGATGTTGAAGACTACTTAATAGGTGAGTCTTCTAAAATATGTACTTGACTAGCATTAATTGTTTCTGCGTAATTATCATTTCTGGAGATGAATATGATCCTATTCCACCTTTCCTTTGGCTAGTTTCCCCCAGGGAGTGGTGGCCTATTTAAATATAGTTATAATTTTGAACAACATGGGTATGACAGTTAGAATAACTTGGGTTTCCAGGACAAAGGAGCTCAATAACCAAATGTGTTGTGTAATGGTGTTATATTTTGTCATTACTCATTTCACTAGTACAAATGGTTCTTATTTTTTTACAGAGTAAAGAACTCGACTAAAATCGTCCAACTCCATCTTTTCATTTGAGCCATAGGTCTAGTTTTTGTTAATCATAGATTATTACATAGCCGATTATGATTTCATAGTTTTGTTGTCTGTACTGATATTGATACATTTTGAAATGCAGGTGTCTGTTTTATGTCTAATGAATTGGTAAATAACTCATTTCCTCATAACTGTTACGTATCATCTTGTACAAAATAAAGGAGATATTCTCTACACACTATGTTTTTAACCATATTTTGTCAAGAGGAATGTAGACTAGAGATGGATGAATGTTTATATACGCACTTACACAGACACAACAGAGTATCAAACTTCTGTATGTTTAAGGAAAATTAACATCACTATTACACCCTAGTTTACAATTCATTTGACATTGCAGCCTAGGTATGTGGTGAATCAAGTGACAGCTGGTGACTATGATTGTCCAAGGAAGGTCTTGAAGTTCTTGACAGACCTCCATGCTGCATTTCGAATGCTTAATCTTCGCAATGATTTTTTGCGAAAGAAGTTCGATGGTATGTTATTACTTGTACCTTGCCTATGCATTATATCTTTTCTTTTCTATCGTCATAACATAACTTGCATTGAGCACATATAGTAATGACACTGCATTCAGCATTCTCAATCTTGACACAATTATTTTTCATCTTAAAGCAAGATTGGTCTACTAACTCCAACGAGTAACAGCATTACCATAACAGACTTACCCAGAAAACAGGCAATAATTAAAAAACATATACCAGCCATGGATTACTCCCTCCTCTAAAGGCTTGTACCAAAGATACTTCGCATATATTATATTTTCATGTAAGAGTTGTATTCACTCATACCATCTGTTTGGATGATATCTTTCCACCGTTGACTTGACAGGCATGAAGTATGACCTAAGAAAAGTAGAAGAGGTTTACTATGATGTTAAGATTCGGGGTTTGACACCGAATGGTGAGCCAGTTCATGACTTGGAGACCAAGGAATCATAGGACAATCTCAAATTGTGAGAGCTGTTGAGCCGAAGCGAGAACTTTACTACATGGAGCTTTACTGACTTCTCAACTTTCTGTTAACTGTAACTGGAATTTTATTTTGAATGGTTGATGAAAGCAAGTAAAATTTCATTAGTAAAGATTCAATTGTCAGAACGGGGAACGCTGTGTTCACAATGTTCTAAATGGGAAATATAGTGCGTAGAAGAATTGGTACTTGTGGTGGGTTTTTTTAACCTTTCTCCCCTTGGTTACCAATGAACTGAATGAAATAGTAATTTCCAGCTATAAAATGACGTTTAATTAAAGAATTCAGGAGACATAAAAGAGAGAGAGGATAAAGAAGGCAAATTGTTGATGTTTCTATTTGGGGATTTTCATCTCTATATTTTTAATATTCCTTCAATTTTAGAAAAAAGTATTGTTTTAATTTTGTTTACTTTTATTTTTTTTACGCTTTAATAAATGTAATTAATTTTTATTGTATCTTAAATATATATGGTTTAAAGTTTAATTAAATAAAAGTAACAAATTAAAGTATATATAAAATTAAAATTTGGACAGAAACTTAAGATTATTTAAAACATTAAACCAAAATCACAAAAAAAGAAAATAAACAAGAATCACTATCGGTGATAAAATAATAAAAAAGAACGACATTGTAATTTAGCAATTTTGTTTTTTGCAACAGTGCAAGTAAACAAAACTACTACTTCAATAAAGAGGTTAGAAACATAGAAGGTAGTTCTCAAACCACTTACTCAAAAGAACAACACAGCAATCCAATCAACTAAGCAACCAAATGATGTTCTGTGCCGGCAATTCGTAGATCTTATGCCAAGTTAACCATATACAACATAACCTAATTGATTGATTGAACTTACATACCTTGCCACCACCCAGCAAAGAGCAACCATATATAAATAATATCATCATATCTTATGCAACAACCTATGCATGCTAGTTCTATCCCTATGTTTGAACTGGTCATCTTCATTTCCATTTCTAACATCTTCAGAAGTTCCTGTCACTTTCTTGTACTTTTCTTTAGGCATGGCATGGTAGTTTGCACGTTCAACACTGTTTTCTAGCTTATATTATAGATATTGGTCTTTTCTTTTCAATGTTTCTACCACTTTTCCTTTTCCAACGCGATTTCTCTTGTTGGCTGTATATCCCTCATGCCTTCGACACTCCCAAGAGAGGTGCCACAGAAAATGCCGTGAGCTGCATCTTGAAGCACTGTATCTTCCTCGTTGCTTAATTATATGATTGTTGTGGGTTGTTAAAATGTGACAAGATAAAATGGGTTTTCCCACAATCTCCTCAAGATTTTATTTTTCAATCTCATGCAATAACAATTTAGGCAAAGGATATCTCCTCTTTGATTTCAACTTTCCCTACTTGTGCCATATTCGATAATTAAATCATTTTGACAGCTCATGGCTTATCCTTTCTGGTTGCTTCTACGGATTTTTATTTATTTATGTATGCAAATGAGTAAGAGATTGAAGATACTTTATTTTACATCAAGAACCAATTTTATCACACGTCTTAATTAAGTTTACTAATTTATAATCAATTCTAACATCAGTTATGTTTAATTTTAAAATAATGGAACACTGCATCAACAATGACTAATACACATCACATCATATCACATCACATTTTAACAGTAGTACCAGGGTTGTCCCATATTCATTTCCAAATCACTCATAAATGATTGGGTGGGAGGGCCCGGGGAAGATGAAGGACACATGTCCACCAGGTTTACTTCATCCATCAGTTAACTCAACAAAATTTAGACTTTTTTAGTGTTTTTCATCAGAGTTGAAATTTACCTTTAATAATCATCATAATAAAAATTTACATTGAAGATAAGATAGGATACTGTGGTAAAACTGATCTGATGAAAAAAAATACCAAAAATACAATAAAGGGCTCCTTATAAATTTTATCCTGAACTGGGTAAAACCCCATTCTTTCAAGAAATAAATTTAAAAGAACATGTCTGAATTAAAGTTAAGAAAGTTAAAAAATAAACTTATTTTCAAATGACAACTTTTTTCTTTTTATTTGTACGTCCAAACTTGGTACTTTGTACTGAAATTTTTAAAAATACTCTCCAAATTTGAATGCAATCATAGTGAGAAGAGAACAAGCGTATCATCCTTATGAACAATGTTAGCTTCAAGAGTGAATAATGCTGATAATGCAGAACATCTACTAATGTAATATGAAGTCCAAAACAAGATACAATCTGTTGTTGCCTTTAATTCTGTCTTCCATTTTAGGACATTCTGCAAACCTTATACCTGACAATCAAGCTCTAAAACATTATTTAAAACTCTTATATGTGGGATGACATCTAAAGACTAGAGAACCTTTTTTTCCCCAAAGAAAATAGCAGCTATTAGTTTTTAAAACCAAGGTTTCCAGAGACTCAACCGACACTAAATTTTAAATTTCACACACGATTCTGGCATAATCAAATCCCCACAGTAAGTATACAGAGAGGCATTGCTCCCTAAAAGGAAGCATGGAGAGGAATTAATAGAGGGATGTTGGTGGGGCACTTAAGAAGAAGTAGGAACAAAGTGATAACGTGGCCAGTAGCACCAGCTCATGTGAACAGAAAATGCACGTGGAATGGGAGCAAAGCAAGTCAGATAAAATCATTTCGGTGCACAAAATGGATGGTGGACTGCAAGTATGTTAGTGCTTTGGTAACCAAGTTCCCTGTGGTTCCACTTCTCACCCTATATACAAAAAATTTCCCTTCCACCATGAATCTTATCGTATCTCAATTTGTACGACTACCTCGTTTTGAAGACCCTATCTTATCAATGTAGCTTTGTAGCACAAGTAGCCATTGGATTTGGGTGTATGCAGAGCTGTTGCACCAACAACTGCACATATATGATCTATTTAATTTGCAGAAACAACGATATTGCTCTCAAAAACTTGATACAAATAACCCTCTAACACAAATTAAAGATAACTGTTGCAGGTTGTGTCAAATTAGACATGCTATTATTTTCAAACAACCAAGCTCCACCCACTTTTGTCTAGGGTCAGTATAATGATTCTCACTGGTCTCTCTGAGAACCTGTCTAAGAAGAACAGACCAGGAAAAAGGGGATCTCAAACCCCATCGTCGCGGATTATTTTCAATGAAAGTGCTAAAAGTTATTCTTTATAGAAAATAGTGTTTCCAGCTCCCTTATAACTTTCTAATTATAGAATGAAAAGTTAGATTTTAAGAATTACCCCACCTTTTCCTCAACATCTCTCAACCAAAACAAAGTGGCAAAATGATCTGCTTGGTACAAAATTGTTTGGTTCTTTGATGTTTTTCAGTTTATACTTTTGGTTATACTTTCAGTTTATCTGTCTAGTTAACTTTCATAGTACAAAACTATCTTTTTTAGCCGTCATTCAAGAAAACATGTTCTACAATGATAAGATTAAGATCAATAAAGGGCTGAAACTAGAACCTGAAACCATTGAAAGTCAGTGAATTTTGTATGAGAAACCGGATTCGGGAATCAAGTCAAACATGTCACATATATCAAGGATTAAAGATTTCAGCAGGGTAAAGAACTGTGACACTAATTCTTCTGTCTGCAATTGTACATGTTATCTTCCATCCCTTATTCAATGTATAGCCCATGTCATAAAAGAGATATTTTATTCTTACAATCTAACAACAATTTTCTCTATCTTTTTTTGCTTATTGTTTTCATTACATCATTCATTTTATGTCTTATCTTATTGATATTTTCTCCTACAACTTCTCTAACTACAGAAAAAGTGACGGAGAAACATAGAATAACTCATTCCTTAGTGCGTGAGAACTAAGTAGGGACAATAAAACTCATCACAAATCATTTCCTTGGAGGACTGAACAAGTAACCTTTTTGTACGGATAGTACCTCCGTATTCCATGCCAAACGAAAGTCTTGGCCTTTATGCACAAACTCAAGGTTATTCAACACAAGCAGTAGCTGAAACAAGTCCAAATAAGAATGATAAATTCACATCAATACATGCTTAGAAAAAAAAATAGCTTGAATTTGTTAGTATTATGGTGCTTGATTTAGTCCCACATCGATTAGGATTGTGAGATGAGGTTCTCTATTTTGTTATATAAGCAACCCTATGTAAAGTTTGAGATACACACAGAAATAAAAATACTTCCTAGTGTAGTCGTGGACGTAGACATACATATTTTAGCCGAACCACGTTAAAATTCTTGTGTCGTTTATTTTTCTCTCCTTTATTCTTTCCTTTATTATTGTCTTGTTCCTAACAATTGGTATCAAGAGCCAATTTTCTTAGTATGCTCTGTGGTTGCGGCTTTGTCCGATCTTCCACATCGAAAAGATTTGGTCTTTTTTCTTGGGAATCTCGGTTTAGAGAAGCAGTGGGAGCTTTCTTGAAAGCGGTGAGAGCAATGGCATTGGAAGAAGGAAAGGTGAGGATCGAGAAGTTCGATGGCGGTGACTTCGGGTTCGGAAGATGCGAGATGGAAGATTATCCGTATCGGAAGAAGTTGTATCTACCCTTGACAGGCGAAGCCAACCGACATGGAGCGATCAGAATGGGAGTTGTTAGATCGGCGGACGCTTGGTGTGATCCGGTGACATTAGCCAAGAATGTTGCGTTCAACATCATGAACGAGAAGACAACAGTAGATTTGATGCAGGCGTTGTCAAATATGTATGAGAAGCCCTCTGCGACCAATAAAGTGCATTTGATTCGCGAGGCTAGTCAACCTCAAAATGGGTGAAGGTAACTCGGTTACTAATCATATTAGTGAATTTAATGCAATTATTGCGCAGTTGACATCGGTGCGAGATAATATTTGATGATGAGGTGAAAGCATTAATTTTATTATCATCTCTACCGGAAAGTTGGGGTGCAAGCTATTACTGCGAGTAAGTAATTACGCAAGCAATAACAAGTTGAAGCTTGATAACATCAGTGACTTGATCTTAAGCGAAGATGTTCGCGAGAAAAATTCGATAGAATCTTTCGGTTCTAATTCGGGTTCGGCATTGAGTATCGAAACTAGAGGAAGAAGTCGCCGGAAAGGTCGTAATCAAGGCCGAGGCGAGATCAAAATCCGAGAGGAGATCACAAGCAAAAGTCCGGAATGATATCACTTGTTGGAATTGTCGGAAAAAGGGCCACTTTTCAAATCGGTGTAGGGCTCCAAAAAGGACAACAACAACAACAAGAAGCAAGATGATGATCAATCGGCAAATGCGACAATCGATGAAGTTGAAGATGCACTCGTTATGTAGTTTAGATAATTCTATTGACTCATGGATTATGGACTCGAGTGCGTCATTTCATACTACACCTTCCTTAGAACTATTATCTAACTATGTTTCGGAAAGTTTGGGAAGGTCTACCTTGCGGATGGAAAATCTCTTGATATCATAGGAAGAGGTGATATTAACATCGGAACCTCTAATGGAAACGTGTGGACTTTGAATAATGTCGGACATATTCCAACCTTAAAGAGAAACTTAATATCTATAGAGCGAGTTGGATGATGAGGGACATTACACCACTTTTGGAGATGGACATTGGAAGGTAATGAAAGGTAATCTTGTTGTTGCTCGTGGAAAGAAGCAAGGATCTCTCACATGATTGCGAGATGAGGATATGATATCGGTTGCAGAAGTTGGTAACAATTCCTCCTTATGGCATCGAGGCTTGGGCATATGAGTGAGAAAGGAATGAAGCTCATGATATCAAAAGGTAAAATACCTAACGTGAAGCATGTTGACGTTGGACCTTGCGAACATTGTATCTTTGGAAAGCGAGAAAAAGGTTAGCTTCTCAAAAACAAGTAAGTCGTCTAAAGTTGAAAGACTAGAACTAGTGCATACGAGATGTTTGGGGGCCGGCTTCGGTGAAATCCCTTGGAGGTTCACAATATTATATAACCTTCATTGATGACTCTACAAGAAAGGTATGGGTTTATTTTCTTAAAAATAAATCGATGTGTTTTACTGTGTTTAAAAGGTGGAAAAAGGAGGTTGAGACTCAAACGAGTTTAAAGGTCAAATGTTTGAAGTCGATAATGGTGGAGAATATGACGAGTAGTCAATTCAAGGAGTTTTGTTCGAGAGAATGGGATCGGAATGATCAAGACAGTTCCAGGAACACCGAGAACAAAACGGTGTGGCGAAAGAATGAACGAGAACCTTGAATGAGAGAGCAAGATGTATGAGAATCCGGTCGGGATTACCCAAGGTATTTTGGGCGGATGCAATAAGCACAGCGACCTATCTCATAAACGAGAGGACCATCGGTTCCTTTAGACTATAAGTTACACGAAGAAGTATGGTGCGGAAAAGAGGTAAATCTTTCACATCCGAAAGTTTTTGGTTGTGCTTCATATGTTATGTTAGACTCTAATAGTAGAGATAAATTGGACCCTAAGGCAAAACGTTGTTATTTCATTGGTTATGGATCCGACATGTTTGGCTACGGGTTTTGGGATGACCAAAACAAGAAAATTATCGAAGTAGAAATGTTACTTTTAATGAAAACATGTTCTATAGAGACGAGATTGCGAGAATCGCAAATGTAAATAAACGGCTAGAGCAAGTATCATTAGAAGAAATTTCGAGAAAGTGATGTAGTCAACCGAAGGCGGAATATACAAGTAGAGCCTATGTCGGAGCACGAGACGAACTCGAACAAATAGTAGAGTCGACAACTCCCGAAATCTTGGTTAGAAGATCTAGCGGAACAATTGTAGCACCACAAAGGTATTCCCCTTCATTGCATTATTTGTTGTTGATCGATGCTTGGTGAGCCGAGCATTTTGCTGAGGCTATGCAGGGAGATGAATCTATTAAGTGGGAGCTAGCAATGGAAGATGAGATAAAGTCCCTTCGAGAAGAATAAAACATGGTCTTTAACCAAGCTACCGGAAGGAAAGAAAGTTTTGCAAAACAGGTGGGTCTATAGGTTGAAAGAAGAACCGGATGGCAACAAAAGATATAAGGCTAAACTCGTAGTGAAAGGGTTCCAACAAAGACAAGGAATTGACTTCACGAAATTTTCTCTCCTGTTGTCAAGATGACTACCATCGAGTTATCTTGAGTATAGTAGCTGCTAGAAAATCTTCATTTGGAGCGAGTTAGATGTCAAAACTGCATTCTTACATGGGGATCTTGAAGAGGAAATTTTTATGACACAGCCAAAAGGTTTTGAAGTACAAGGCGGAGAAAATCTTGTATGCAAGCTTCATAAAAGTTTGTACGGATTAAAACAAGCGCCGAGACAATGGTACAAGAAGTTTAATGAGTTTATGAGAAACTCGGGATTTCGCAGATGTGAAGAAGATCAACTGTTGTTATGTGAAGAAATATGTTGATAGCTATATCATTCTTGCCTTATATGTTGACGACATGTTGATTGTTGGAGCTAATATGGCGAGAAATTGACAAGTTGAAGAAACAATTGTCAGAGAGCTTTGAAATGAAGGATCTTGGTCCAGCCAAGCAAATTCTTGGTATGAGAATCTCCGAGATAGAGATAAAGGTATTTTGAACTTATCTCAAGAAAAATATATAGAAAAATTGCTTAGCAGATTCAATGTTGGGAATGCTAAAACCAGGAATACACCTTTGGGAACTCACTTAAAGTTTTCAAAGAGGCAATCTTCTCAAACAGAAGAAGAAGAAAGTCACATGTCTAAAGTGCCATATGCATCTGCAGTAGGAAGCTTGATGTATGCTATGGTTTGCACCGGACCGGACATAGCACATGCGAGTGGGAGTTGTGAGCAGATTTCTATCAAATCCCGGAAAGGAGCATTGGGAAGGAGTGAAGTGGATATTCGGATATTTGAAAGGCACTTCAAAGATGCATTTGTCTTTCAAGAGAAGTAATATCATTTTACGGGGGTTTTCCGATGCGGACTTGGGAGGTGATCTTGACGGTAGAAAGAGCACAACATGTTATATTTTTACATTGGGTGGTACAACTATCGGTTGGAAGTCTAAACTTCAAGGAAGGGTCTCTCTCTCAACCACTGAAGCGAGTATGTAGCTATCTCGGAAGCGGCGAAGGAGATGATATGGTTGAAGAACCTTCTAAAAGAATTAGGAAGAGAACAAGATGGTTCTCCGTTATTTAGTGACGATCAAAGTGCTATTTGTCTTGCTAAAAATCCAATCCTTCATTCCGGATGTAAGCACATTGAATTGAAGTATCATTTTATCGAAACCCGATAAATGATGGAGACTTGAGTTTGTTGAAGATTCCAGGTGCGAGAGAATCCCGTCGATATGTTGACCAAGATCTGTTACAACAACTAAGTTGAGGCTTTGCATTGCCTCAACCGGCCTTCGAGCAAATTGATGATGAAGGCACTACACTAGGTGGTAACGTAAATCAAACTCCAAGTGGGAGAATTGTTAGTATTATGGTGCTTGATTTAGTCCCACATCGATTAGGATTGTGAGATGAGGTTCTCTATTTTGTTATATAAGCAACCCTATGTAAAGTTTGAGATACACACAGAAATAAAAATACTTCCTAGTGTAGTCGTGGACGTAGGCATACATATTTTAGCTGAACCACGTTAAAATTCTTGTGTCGTTTATTTTTCTCTCCTTTATTCTTTTCTTTATTATTGTCTTGTTCCTAACAGAATTGACATAAACACCAACGTTCTTACTGAGAAAGTATCTGAAAGAAACAAATGAGGGTATACACTCTCTGCGAACATGTTTGTGACTTCTCATGTTTATTTTTCTGTGATACAAGGGTAAAATACTTAGGATTAATTATACTAGAATTCATTGTTACTTGCATAAAGTTTATTAAATTTACATTTTAATATGAAAGGGAATTTAAAATAATGGAAATTCAAGAGAAATAAATGTGTTTGCACTTCATCCAAGAAACTTTATCCCATCCCTCATTCATTTCTTATCTTTCCCTACCCCAGTTGTGGTCTGAATTTTAAGAACTTTCGAAAGGTCACTCTGTCAAGCACCGACCTTTCAGAATTACAGAGAAAGACACTATCCTTACATCCTGGAAAGATATTAATTTATTAGAGCATTGAATTACCATCAAGTGGCTTTTATTAGCAAACCCTTAAATAATTTTAATGCTCATAATCTAGGTAAGTTCTGCTCAATTAATATTGTGTTGAAGATTTAGGTTTTCAGAATTACAATTGTGCAATGCAGACTCTAAACATGTTTTTGGTCACAAATGATTGGAAAAGCTTGCATTTGTAGCAAATAACAGTGGTTATTATTTTCCTCGAAGTGAGATTTGGTGGAACTAATATGTTGCAGATATGATTGTTAGTTTTTTCCAAACCCTTTTTTCAACTGATATGTCTGTATTGTCAATGCAATAGTTTATTATTATTTTTTGTTACAGTATAACTGTTTTTTCTCTGTCTCTCCTAATCATATCAATTATTTTATCATCTTTTTCATTCTCTTCTCTTTCTCTTATCTAATTTCCATTAAAATTTGTATAAATATTATTAATTCAAAAGCAATTGTGAAAACTATTATTGTAATAATATTTATTTTATCACCAAGATCACATAAAACCTGGATTTTCAAATTTGTTCACTTCATTGACCGTATTATAACTGAAATGAACTCTTCCTCTCTATTATTTTCTAAGCTACTCTGGCATTGCATACTGGTATAATTTTGCAAGCTGCAATGCTATAAAGAAACTATACTAACAAGCAAAGTCAGCTAAGTATCTGTGACACGCTTTATAATAATATATATTGGATTTTTATATATCAAGGTATCTGACACACTTTTGAATAATATCCATTGGATATTGATGTTTCCGCCATAATTGTATAGGCAAAAGCTACGATGTATCATGTCGACCATTTACTGTGTCTTTTGGTTTTATAGCCCAAAATGTAACACAAACTAAAAACAAAATGTTTCATGTTATTAGGATCTGTGTCGTTCGATAGAATAAGGGTTCTTGTTTTTTTATAAGACTCTTCTATCACGCTTAAACTTTTAACAATAAATGTGTTCAATGAAAGTTGATTTGGAAAAGAACTATATGTAATCAATGAGTAATTAAAAAGACAATATGTAATAAAAAGCAAACAATAATAAAAAATAAGTGTCTGACTTAGAAAGCAAATACACTACCATAACGAGCATTTGTACTTCCCATGCCGCAATTATATAAACCTTTTCATGTTCCGTGTACTCCACGTACTTTTTCCCCATCTCCACTCTCTCTCTTTCTCTCTCACTCGCTGTTTCAGAAGCTTCAAGAGAACAATGAAGGGGAGGTTTCTGAGAGGGTATCTTAACAAGTGGAAGAAAATAGGGAGTCGAGTGATCCACTGTGCTGCCTACGGTTACTGCTGCGAATGGGAAGTGGGGCCATCCATGTACAATGAAGGAGACTCCAACATTCCAAACGATGTGCCAAAGGGTCACTTGGTTGTGTACGTGGGAGAACACCACAAGAGATATGTGATCAAGATCACGTTGCTTAACCATCCTCTATTCAAGACATTGCTGGATCAGGCTCAGGATGAGTACGACTTCATTGCAGATTCAAAGCTCTATATTCCTTGCAGTGAGCACCTTTTCCTCACTGTCCTTCGCTGTGCAAGCTCTCGACACAAGAACGAGTCTTTGTGTGTGTCTGAGTAGAGTCATTATTATGCTCTAACAATTACTATATTAAGGTTCTTGTTTGATCTGTATTTTTGCTCTCAGGGAACATGCAGAGTTAATTAGTACATTGAGCAAATTAAGGGAAGTGCATTAGTTTCCAATAAAAGTTAATTACTATCTGTAATTAAAGCCACTTGATCCTTGGATTAGTTAAGAATGATGAGGATCTCTTGGTAAAAATAAGAAAATAAACTGTCAATATTATGTGTAGTGTAGTAATAATGCAGCAATCTTAAGCTACTAGACAATATATATATAATTTTATGAATTGTTTTGACGTGCTTATAGTTACAGATATATTAAGAAAAAGGTAAAAGTTTGTGGAGACATGTGTGCCCACAAAGTCCACGGTAGATCTGTCCATGCATATACATAATAAATAAACAATGTATAGCATTTATATTGGGATAAGGATGTGTTTGGAAACCGTTTTAATAGCGCTAATAGAAGCTTGTCACGTTGCAATACAATAACACAGAAGTAGAGGGGATGTTAGATTGGCGTTACATGGAAGCGAGACGCAAACGCACTCTAAATGCTTGGTATGAATAATTGACATATACAAATGTCAACGAGCATGCAACTAAAACATACCGATTTGTTCTACGAAGTATAACAGCAGTGGAATGTTATGAATCTCCCCTTTTTCATTATGAATTTTAGAAGAAAATAAAGAAAAAATAATGTTTTTTTAAAGTTAAAATCAGTTTATATATAATATAATTTGTAAAAATTATTATCCCAGACCAACTTTATTTTAAAATTACTCTTTTTTGTGTATAAATTAATTTTACTTTGTATTTGTATTGTAAGAAGCTTTACCAATGTTTCTGAAATTTTTATTAAAAAATACTCATTATCAAAGGAACTTTAGTGTTTCATACTCTGTAAGTGTAAATAAAATCAATTAAGATTGCAAAGAAATAGTAATTTTCAATGTTCAACTAAAAAGAAGGGTTGATGAACCGATAATACAAATAAAAGTCAACGAATTGTATGACAAATCAAATAGTTTGATATTTATTATTTCAAAAAGAATAAACCCTGATTTAGCAAGTGAACTTGTTATGTGTTGATTACTCTAGTCCATGTTTGTATTCATTAGAGTATAGTATAAAAAATTTAGCATCTCATCTTAAGTTGCTTTTCTAAGTAACTCCTGTAACTGGCAATGATTTTGACGAAATCAAGACAAAACTTCCATAAGAAATTCTCATAAGGAGTGTTTTTGCATCGAATTGGTGCAAAAATGCTGATTGAGCGGGATAGCAAACATACCTCTAGGGAATCTTAATTATTCATAGTAACCTGTGATGCTAAGTGACACCATGTCATGTGGCACTCGGCTCATGGTCAAAAGTTTTGCCTTCTATCCAACATATTCTGTCATAGCTCACATAAACTGATTGTAGCAGAACCATTGGGCCTAACCTAAAAGATATTTGAAGTTTCACCTAGATTTTCCATCTTAATCTTTTGGAGCCATGGAAATCATTGTCAAGGAAATGTTATAGTTTTTCTAATCCTGAAGAAAAACTTGGTACATAACTGTCTCTATCGAGGCGTTGAGGCTTTAGCAGGAAATGGAATGCTTCGTATGTATGAATGTGTCTTGCATACAATGTGTGTGAGTGTTACGAGTGCTATATATTGTGATTTCAGCAGTATGAATACAATTGCCTCCAGATTGTGATTTCAGCAGTATGAATACAATGGCCTCCCGGATCCCTGGCTACTTTCTCAAATCGCATGTTCATGTTGGCTACTTTGATTATGTTTGTATACTATACTCTATTTCATGTTTGATGTCTTTTCTCAAAAAGGTCATCAACATTTTCTTTCTAGTGTGAACAATTTGTTGTTGTAATAATCACACTGATTGTTTTGGATTGTTCAGGGATGGTGAGTGTAATGTCTTGAACCTGGGACACAAACATAATAATGCTTAGGCTTGGGGGCTACCCCACTGTCTCCATTTGCTTTTGAAAACTGTTCTCCTTAGGATTTCAACGGCACGCACAATTACTTGAGGTGTGCTCAAATGAGGATAAAAGATAATACAAGTAACAATGTAAATTTTTTTCATTAAGTTGAAGTGTTAATGTAAAGAAAAGAAAGTGAAGTTCACATTGAAAAACAAATATTTATACTTTCTTTCCTTACATTTTTCCTTCAATGTACATTCCAAAATTTGTCTACTCTCTAGTTTTCTTACAGCATTACAAAATATTTCTCTCTTATTTGGTCTTCTTGCAGTAGATCAAAAGAGGGCAAGAGATCTAGTAAGTGCATTTAGGCGATATCAAAACTGAAAAACTACCTGGTTCAGATACAAGATAATAGCTCAGAAGACCCAGATATCCCATAAGCTAATTAAGTGAAACCATATAAGAACAGAAACCTTAGAATGTTGCTTGCACTTATTTTTTTATGAAGAAATGTATGAAAAATAACCTGTATTGATAATAATGGGATTGTTATCAGCAATAGCAGAGTAAACCTCGACATGCTGCCTAGGCAAACTACCCTCAAAAACAGGTTATTAAGCAAATCATCGAAACTCACGCATTTCCAATTTGATTTTACATTTCATTGTTTTCAAGGTCCATACTGAATAAAAATTTTATATCTTTTTCTGTTAAAAGAACTGGAATCCTATCAGTTACAGACAACCAGGAGGAGGAAGAGTACAATTCACTAAATCACAATCCAGTTGCTTTTGCATACTATTTATATCACAAATCATCTCCAGTTTAATCCCATTTCATCTAACAAAACATTTATACACAAAAACCACATTCCTCGATGCTAGTGAAAGGGAAAGGGTTGTAAATTCAGGTAGCCAAATGACCAAAAAATTAACATACAATCACCAAACAGAAAACATCAAGTATTTACTCTGACTATTTAACATCAGTCCAGCAGAAGTAAACACAGTTCTTCAACAAAAACTTGGAATGCCCCTCTGATGTAGCCCTAATTTTGTTATCAGCCAAAAATTTTCCTCTCATTCGAACTTAGCCATGTAACTCCATGATGCAAAAAAAAATTATGACTTTCTACAGGATGATTATATACATACAGCAATGTGAAGGCTTGTTTATGAAAAGGATTTGATAATCATACAGAAAAAAAAAAATTAGCATGAACAGCCTTCGTGGAGAATTTCTAAAAGGGGAACACAATGCATAACTCACTAATAATTTTCCCTATTCTATCTTGCAGATTAAAGTGCTTTTCATTGTTTGTAGATGATGTCGAAGTCATGCCACCAAATGTCCATAAAGGATGGAGCATAACACCAAACAAACAGAAGTGCTATGCAGTTACTTTTGGCATCACAAAATAACCCCAAGGTTGCATGGAGAAAAATCATTACCATTCTTCATTTCCCAAACCCTGTAATTTGTGACTATCATCACCAACACATATTGAGTGAACTAATTCAATAATTCCATGAATAATATACATAAGAACTACCCTCATTCAGAATATACACGAGAAGTATATCAGCCTTCTGGTGAAGTACACATTTGAGACATCGCTGGTGACAAAACTAGAGAATGGCGGCAACAATCAACGGCGACTGCAAAAGTGGGAGACACAAAGAACCTTTGAAACATTGCTGCTGCTACTTGTGCATCACAGTAAGGAAAAAAGAAAGAAAAAACCACATCCATCCATCCAAATTCAACCACCCCCATGTATCATCTGAGGCTTTCAACCAAGCCCGCCAATTCCCTCTGTCCAAACCTCCTACCATGAAGATCAGCATCCCTACACCTTGCCGCAAAGTAAAACAAAAGCCAAGTGACCATGAAGTAAACCTCCATGGTGGACTGAAACATCTTGGCGAAGGACCTCCCGCAAACCCGGCCCAAACCCCACCTGACAAAGGATCCACAGAGTATAGCCTCCAAGCACTTAACCTGAATAGCCTGATTGAACATAGTAGATATCAAATAACACCCTTCCTTCACAATCTCCCTCCCACTCTTCCTTGAGTCCACAATGGCAACCCAAGCATCCACAGAGAATATAAAAGCCACAAAAGTATCCACCAGAAACCAAGTAAACAAGAACCCAGAAATCTCTCTCTCAAAGCCCCGAACCCAAGGGGACATAACCGAGAAGGGCATCAATTTCAACCTCACAAAGAGCTTGAAAAACGAGTACTGATCCTCAATTTCTCCAAAGTACCACAACCCCAGAAGCTGAGTCAACGCGTCCCTCACAGCCCAACGCATCAGAATAAACCCCGAAAGTCTCTTCAGACCTAACCTCGAACCATCCCAAATCAAAACCGTAACGGAGCTAAACCTCCCCAACAGATCGCTCACAACGGAAACGAAAACAACACCCAACACCCACGAATACGTCACGAGAAAAACGAGAATCACCCATCCGTACGCGACGGAGAGAAAACTCACCAAAAAAAACAGCGCCGCCGCGTCCCTTCGACCCACCTCGATCCCCTTGACAAAAAACTGCAAATCCACGCCCTCTTTCTTCCTCTCCGCATTCTCGTTCAGCTTCTCCTCTTCGCTATCGCCGCTATCGTCTTCGCGAGGCGTTCGCGACGACAGTGAGGACAATCCTTGACTATTGAAGGTGGTTCCGGAGCGGATGACTTGTGAAACCCTAATTCCATCGTCGGCGAGGAGATCGGAGAAGGCGGAGGTGGGGGGGAAGGGGGAGAGGGCGAGGAGGGTGGCGTTGGCAGGGGATTTGGGGATGGAGCCGAAGAGAGAGCGGTCGTCGTCGTCGTCGCCGGAGAAGAAGTCGTCGTCTAGGGTTCCGACACGAGTGAGATGGAGGAAAGGACGGCGACGGTGACGGAGAGCATGGTTGGCGGCGGTGGAGGGGAGGTCGTGGCCGTGGTCATGGTGGTGGGAGTTTCCGGCAAGGTCGAGACGGGAGAGGAGGGCGCGGAGGGAAGGATCGCGGTCGATGAAGGAGGTGACATGGGCGGTGCCGGTCTCGACGAGGGTTCGAAAGGAGAGGGTTAGGAGAGAAAGGAAAAGGAATGTGACGAAATTGGAGGAGAACGATGACAGGGATTCCTTCAATAGGTGGGAGGTGGAGCGAAGGTGGTGCAGCCGAGGGTGGTGGTCGCTCATGGCGAATCACAGAGTGCCTCTGATTTTGTTTTGTTAGTTAGTTTCTGATTTTCTTGTTTGCAATTTTCTTTCAACAAAGGTAAGAGAAGGTGGTCGGGGTGGCTGGCTGTCTATGACTTGGGACTTTCCTTCACGCGCTTCGACAGGGCCGTGCATTCAACGCTCGAGGTGAATACGAGACGAGAATATCATATGAGATGACACGAAATTATGAAGATGGAAACATGAGTCGTCGTGCCTCGTGGATTTGGGCTTCCACTTCAGAAGGGTTTACCGGGACAGAACAAAATCAACAAAACGAAACTTCCATTTTTGTAATTAATTATTTATCTGTAAAAACTTTATTTTTATTTTATATTTATTTTGGGTTGATTTAATTTTTAAAATTGAATCCAACTGTATCACGTTTTTTATATATCTATATTATTTTTCCTATTATACTTGCATGTGAAATTTAATTATTTTCCTTTGAACCTGCATGTGGATCAAGAATTTGATTACACGTGATTATGTAAATGTTATTATTTTTAGAACGGATGTAAATTTAAGTAATTATAAGATTTTGTATGGTATCCATTTCTTTTATTGACTATCAAAATAAACATATTTTTAAAAATACATATTATATGAATTAATGGTAGAATTTGTATCTTTTCGTATATAATTTTTTTAAAATCTAATAATTATTTTAAAAGTTTAAAAATTGAATATTGATTTCATTTATATTATCCTAAATCATCAAATGCATGAGGTTGTTTTAAAATAATCATTAATTATTTCAATTAAATTCATTATTTAGAAGAAAAGATACTGTGTAATACCCTATAATCATTTTACTTGTCTCGAATAAAATGATCAAGTGCATGCGATTTTTTTCTAAAAACTAGAAACTAAACTATCATCGATTGAAATCAAAATGTATTGTATTATTTTAACGTTGGTTTAGATTTCGAATTAGACTGAACAGTGAATGCCCGTAACAAATAATGATCCTAAAATAGTAAGTCACGCTCTCGATCGTCCTTTCTTTGCAAGCTAACAAAAATTAACTTGTGTTCTACTGGTTTTAATAAGGCTATATTTGTTTGGAGTGTTGCGGTGATTATTTGAATGACCCTTTTACTTACAAAAGTAACGACAAAAGCATTGCTAGCAAAAGAAAAGGAGAACGAATTATGGAAAGTACGTATTAATGTATGATAAATAGTTTAAGGGAAGTGATAGTGCTTCCTAACAGTCTTTTTAGCATACAACTTATTATTGGTTCAAATTTATTATAACTACAAATATAAATAAAAAGTCAATAATAAAAAGAAAAATCTATTGTTAACATTTTATCTCTAAGGACTTACCTTTGATTTCCTAATTACGAAATATTTATTTATTGTTAAAAATGGCCAAAAAAAAAAGTGTCAAGGAAGGTTTAAATAATTTGAAGGATATTCTATTAAACTTAATGGGCGAAAAGATTAATAAAGGAATACGATGTTATAGCGATCCAGCTGTCCTTGTTCCAAGCAAGCTGTGTTAGCAAAAGAGAACCAATCAATTGGTATTTCGATCTAAGCAAAGGCATAATCGCTTGTTACACGATAATCAAATACTTCTTGTCCGATAAATCAGGTCCACATAAAAAACATGACATCATATACAATTTTGAAGGAAAAAAATTGTTTGACAGAAAAATATGATTATTTTGGATTGTAAATATAATTGTTTTCACTATTTACACTTTGCAGACACTGTGTTCATAACGAAGAAAACTGAATTTATATTGAATTAAAATATTTAGAACACAATGAGAATGATGTGACTTACAAACATAAGCATATGAAGATGGTTAATTACATTTTACAAATTAACATTTCAAAACAAACTAATCAAATTCAATATGTTCATATTAAAATATATTCTAGTGAAGCATACTTAATCAATTTCTAAAAATACTACCCAGTAAATCTGTCAATCCCAAAAGCACTCTGAAAATCTGCCAACGAGGACCCATATGTGTTTACACAGTAATAATTAAGTATCCTTCCAGATAAATTAAAAAAAGAGTAAAAAGAATAATTTTACTATTTTTGTCATAAACTTCATAATATTTTCGAAAAAATATAATCACAGTTTCGTTGAAGTTAATCAATCGGCTGATAAACGATAGTCGCAGACGGGGTGGCAAATTAGACATACCCTATCCTAAGGACAATAATATTATTTAAATCTATTAAAAAAAAGACTTGGTAACAAACTTGGCCAAAATAGCTCTCTACCATACAACAGTTCAATAATTTTGTTTCCTTACAGGTCCGGATGAAAAATCTAAAAGCAGCTATACTGCAACTATCACAATACAACAAAAGGTTTCCTGACAATCAGAAGTTCATGAAGGCAACAGAACCGAGAGAAATCATTTAATGAAAATCAGGCTTCTCTGGGTAAGTGCAGCCAGACCTTTGGATGATAACGTTTGCTGCATAACAGCCAGCTCTCACACATTCTTCAATAGGCTTCTTCTGAACCAATTGTGAAAGAAATCCTCCAACAAATGCATCTCCTACAAACAAAAAATCATGAGAGGGATGAAACAAAATTGGCATCTTGCTTGTCACCTACCAACCTCTATTTATGAAATCCTGGACGTCCCTAAGAAATCATTAATAATGTCATGATCTTTCCATGTTGGTAGCAATGTTCTATGACAATGATGTACAATGCATTTAAAAGAAGTACAAAGAGGAATTATGCGTTTGTGTGTATGTGTATGAGAAAATTTACAGGCTGCAAGGATTTAGAGCATATATCACAACTGAATACCAACTGCAACAGTGTGAAAATAGACTTGCTACACTAGGCTTCACAAGGCCTGTGAGCTTTATCTAATTCCCAAATTTAAGCTCATCTATTTAACTAAAAAGCCCATTAAGCCTTTTTTTTAAAAGCATAGTCTGGTCTTATAAAGTCTATTTTGTAATGAATTCTTTTCTTAAATAGGTAAAACAAACCCACCGGTAAATAGGCTATTAAACTTAAACTTGTATGGTAACTAGATTAAGCATTTAAATAGAACAATAAAAATATATTTTCAAAATATTACATTAAAATTCTAATATTATGATAATTATAAAAACGCCTAGATAATGATTTTACTTAGTTTATTCCAATTAGGCCTTGAGTTTTTTAAATAACCCAAATCCTATTTAAATCACCCAATGTTATCAATCCTCCATGAGTGGCCTAACCTACTTTCATCCTTAACTAGAGCCTTTTCTAATTATACAGAATCAGACAATGTTAATGTGTTTCTTGATAGTTAGAAAATTAATTTACCGCCACTTGATCCAATTCATTCCTACCCTAACGATTGTGCACCTCTAACTCTGCCCTGATCAAGTATATCCGCCTATCACCATGAAAGACCATTACGAGATCATTTTTATGAACATAAATACAGAACACACGTGCCCACGCACACACATATATATATATGCGTGCTAGTACCACACTTTAACTCCTAAAACCAGTTGCACAGTACCTGCCCCGTTTGTGTCAACTAGTTTCTCTTTAGGCAAAAGTTCCACAGGGAACTTTTTAACCTTCCCATCCTCAGCTACACATACAGGATCCGCGCCCTGTGTGATAACTGTTATCCTTTTGTGTGTTCTTGACGCCTTTGGCCACTGGGAAATCTTCAGAGCTATCTCATCGACATTTTCAATCTGGAAAATAAAGGGGTTCAATAGATGTAATGGGTTAACATTCTAACATGCGAAACCACGACCGAAAGCCTACATGTCTGATATACAAGGCTTACCTCCCAGCCTTGACTTTTAGAAAATATTTTCGCTTCAGTCTCATTTCCAAAAACAAAATCTGTATACCTGAATCACATAATGGGCAACCTTAAGAACAAATACGTAAAATTTCAATCATTTTAATTTATCTGAGATAGATTCTTACGGTAGAGCTTTCTCCAGTCTCTCCCTGAACAACTCACAAATGAAAGGGGCAGAAAGGTTCATCGAGAAGATCTGCACACATAAATAAAATGAAGTATGAGAAACTTCCATTAAATAGAAAACACAATTTTTCAATCATATTTAACCTTGTTATTTGCAGCAGCATGCTTAGCAACCAACTCGATGGAATCTGGTGATACAGTGAGGAAAAAGCCAGCGATATAGATATACTTGGCCTTTTCAACTGTATTAGGGAAATTTGCACAATAAAAAATGTCAGTCATTTGAAGTTTGAATTACTCAGATATGAAGTGGAGACAAAAATAAAGAGAGCCTGCATAGACCAACAAAAAGGTACCTAGTGCCCAATTTTCTGGTTTCTTCAAATGCTCAGACTTGTAGCAATTTGCAGCTGCTAAGTTTGCCACAAGCGACCTGTATTCAGAGGCAATCAAAATGTAAGGCTTCAAAAAATTTACAATCAAGTAAAAATCAGGCTGAAGGCTATACTTTCTTTAGAAAGAGCATAAACTAATTTCTATTAGTAAAACAAATGAAGCAAAAAACTACAGCAAATTTTAATCGTATCGTTTGACCTTTCGCCACCAATTATACAAACAGCACAAGTTCCAGTAGGTCTAGATTCATCTTCATGATAGTGAACCTGGTGAATAAAAAATTAGTTAATTTCTAAAACAGCCAATACAGAGAAGCACGTGACAATGAAAGGAGAAGATGAATCAAAGATTAAACCTACATTTACACCAGCAAGAGTTGAGCCCTTCTTCATCTCTTCTCCATACTTGTCCTTTCCAATGCCACCCATGAAACTTGTTGCACCAGGAACTTGGAGCATCCACTACATGAAGAAAAAGTAAAGAGTAAATTACTTTAACCAAAGCTACTACAGATCCAGAGTATTACTAAATATGTAGATACATACTTGAGCAACCTTGATTGAATTCTGTGTAGAACCTGCCGGCACAAAAAACAAACTGTATAAACCGTCATTATCAATTATGCATTTCCACAGCTGATTTCTTTTTCTTTTTTTTATTAAGTTTGCTTACGATATTAAATATTAAAGAAATTATCCAATACTCCAGATCTAGTGCAGTACCTCCAGCAATGTACTCCACGTTATATTTCTCAACCAATTCTTCATATCTGAAATGAAGAATCGTATCAATGAACTCAAAAGATATCTTATCTAACAAATAACCACTAGAATAATCCGTAATTAAAGATCGGTGAACAATTTTATCAAAATAGGAGGCTGAATACCCCCATTCACTCGAAGTAATTGAATATAAAAATAAGGACAAAACTCAGATCCAGTTCTATAAACATTTTCTTGTATCGTATTTCATTTAGAGTAGAAACTTCACCGTGGTAATATGCACAATTTTTTTTAGTATGCTTGTCATAGAAATAAAACTTTAATTCCAATTGAAAAACATCTCCCAAAGCAACTATTGAACTTTATAGTATATCTAAGTTTTGTCCTAATAAGAATAATCCCATGCAACCCAAGCAGCACATCAAACGAGCACGTTTTTGAAAGAACACAGTAAAAAATCAGATAACATCGCGGTCCAAAGTGTAAAGGACTGCAGTGCTAGCAGTGTAAAAAAACTCGACGTTCCAATGATAAAAACTCAGTCGCCAAAGCAAATCACAAACAGTAAATTTCATGGATCAAACTCAAACAAACAAAACCACAGTGTTACAGGGACAAGAAGACCAAGAATCAACACAATAGAGATAAACAGGGCGTAAAAGCAAACGGAGAAATCTTACATAGGTTTGTGCTTGTCGTGCGCAAGAATTGCATTGTTCAAGCCGAGACCGTACCTATCATTTCACACAGAAAAACAATAGAAAAAACATTCAGAAGCAAACGAAACTATTTACGGCGTTGTTTCACCATCCAATAAACGCGGTTAATCGTTATCTCAGGAAACAGGAGAAAACAGCATGCAAAAGAGAAAGGTGGCGAGAGTGAGATACTTTTTCAAGAACTCGGGGTCGACGGTGGCGGAGATGTCGAGGAGAGGGTTTCCCATGCCGAGAAGAATGCCTTCGGACGCCATTGTGATCGAATGAAACGCAAACGGTAAGAGAAAAGTGAGTCAGTGAGAGGGAGAATGAAATGCAGATCTGCAGCTGAAGCAGCTCAAAACGATCCACTGCTACGCTTTTATACGTGGCGCTTGTTAGCGGTGCGTCTCTCCATTGGGCCCATACGTTGAAATTTTGTAAGCCATTTTCCGGCTTATTTTCTACAGTACTGTAATTCGCTTTAGATATTTTTAAATACGTCAATTTTTTTAAAATTTTATATGGATAAATCTTATTATGAGATACCACTTAATATCGAAAAATTCAATGTTTTAAAATATGATTTTTTTTATATGAACTTAAAATATGTATAAATAAAGTTATATTAAATATTTTGGGAACACTTAAATTTAATAGTGAACTGTTCTTAAAATATTTATATTCAACATTTAAACATCGTCTTATTAATTTTTTTATTAATAAATATATTCTTATAAAATAATTTAATAATTAAAATATAATTATTAAAATGTACACTAATTAACAGTGAAAAATAATTATTTTAATTATAATTGTTATAATAATCATTATTAAACCCAGAAAACTATATTAGATACATAGCATATACCCTCTCACACTCACTACAAGAAATTTTGATATTACCGACGGTTAAAATCCGTCGGTAATTACCGTTATTTATTTTATAGAATACCCCTTCCCTTTATATTTTTATTATTTATTATTAATTATTTTTCCCTATTACAATTTTATAAGCTAGAGTTAGAGTACGATACTCCAACCACTAAGACTACTAGTAATTTTTGATAATAATTTACAAATAAATTATATTTATATACAAATATATTTATATACAAATATATTATATTTATATACAAATATATTTATATACAAATATATTTATATATATTTATATATTTATATATTTATATATTTATATATTTATATATTTATATATTTATATATTTATATATTTATATATTTATATATTTATATATTTATATATTTATATATTTATATAATTATATATTTATATATTTATATATTTATATAATTATATATTTATATATTTATATATTTATATTTGTATATATTTATATATTTATATTTTTATATTTATATATTTATATATTTATATATATATATATTTATATATATATATATATATATATATATATATTTATATATATATATATATTTATATATTTATATATTTATATTTATATATATATATTTATATATATATATATATATATATATATATATATATATATATATATATATATATATATATATATATATATATATATATTTATATATATATATATTTATATACAATTAAATATTTTTATATGTTTTTATATATTTTTATATATTTATATATAATTAAATATTTATTTTTTAAAATTATTTAATTTAAGAAATTATTATAAATTAATCTAATTTTGATTAAATGAAATTATTAAATAAAAAATATTAAATTTTTTTAATTAGTTAAATATTTACTAATTGATAATTTACCGACAATTTACAGATGAATTTACCGACGGATATATCCGTCGGTAATTAATTATTAATTTATCGACAGATTTACCGACGGATATATCCGTCGGTAAATTCATCTGTCAATTACCGACGGATTTATCGACGGATATATCCGTCGGTAACTAATTATTATTTTACCGACGGATATATCCGTCGGTAAGATCAAATTCCACAAATATTTTATATCCGTTGGTAATTTCAGTCGGTAATAATTATTTTCCGATCGGATACAAATCCGTCGGTAAATATCCTTCGGTAATACGCAATTTTCTTGTAGTGATCTGGGATGTGAGTTTATTTTTATTTATTCATTATAACTAGTGTTTTATTTGGATATGAAAAAAATAAAGAAAATAATTTCTTTAATATTTATTACCAGGAAAAAATTTGAAAAAACATTTTATCCCTAATACAAGACATTTTGTAATTTTAATAAACCTAATTTTTTATTTCTTTTATATATCCTTATATTATTATTAATTGATTCAATAATGATTAATAAGAACAAAAAATAAAATTTAATAAAATAACATGAATTAATTATATTTTTTGGTGTGATTTGGTTCCGAATGTATTATACTAAGAATTAAAAAAAATAAAGATTGGAATAAATTAAAGTTATATATATAATATAATATAGTATCAACTTTATATAAGAAATGTCATTTGTTTTATAGGTAAAATTTATTAAGTAATGTTATTTAATTTTAAATAATTTTTATAAGTAAATAAGAGTGAATTTTCGTAGATGTGGAATATAAAAAATATAAATAGAACATTGAATTGTGTTTTAAAGAAATTTTATTATTTTTAAAATATGTGGTTGAAACCATCTTGCTTTTACAATTTTACAACTTTGAATGCATATAATATAAAACTTTATATAATAGTTTTTTATTTATTTATAGTAAATATTATAATATATAAATAATAATATTTTATAATAATTTGTCTCAGCATTATATCACATAATAATATATGTAAAGTTTCACTGTAGATAATCAGTGTATGAGGAAATCACAATCCTCCAAAATTACTTATATACATTTCTAGTTTTGATTTCTCTATTGTTTTAATTATTTTAATTTAATAATCATTAAATTTATATTAATTAAAATTTTTAAATTTAATAATTCATTAATTTTTAACTTAACTATTAAAAAAATCATTTATTTATTTTACTCTTTTAAAATTATTGGTCAAGATGTCCCACAGAATATTTTTCATTGTAACGCATAACTTACAAATTCAAGTATTTTTGGTAACTTACTTTGTCTCATTTACTAATTTGTGAATGGACCATGTTTTTCCTGAAAACAATTTTTTCAAATGTATTGTAATTTCCTAATTTATAAAAAAATATGAGTTGTAGCATAACTTTTGAAAAAAATAAAAAATAAATGCAAAGTTAACAATAAAAGAGTAATTTATGACCATGCCTTTGTAATAAATGCATTCTCTATGGAATGCATCATGTTTTCTAAACTTCTGTTTACTTTATAATTATAATTTTTTTACTATTAAGACAACTCATTAAAGAGATTTTCATCAACAAAGTCTTTTGGACCACTCTAGAGTCTTTTAAACCATACACACATAATTAATTTATTTCAACATACATTTTATAAGTAATTTTATATAACAATAATTATAAGCTAAGTCTGAGTTAGCAATAATTTTATATGTCATTAAAATATAATTTGATCTTTATATTATGATAAAATACAATTAAAAAACTAAATTATATTTTAATAATAGTATATGAATATCTATTTAAAATAAAAGATAAGTGTAAAAAATGAAAATTATTTTCAAAAATTAATTATTTATATATTAATATTTAAAGTCTAAATAAAAATAAACATGTCATAAGTTTTGAACTAGATAAAGTTGACTTATATTAGTTCATTAAATAAAATTTTAAAAAATATATAAATATGATGTTATGTTAGAATCACAATAATATTATTGTTAAAATATTAGCAGTTTCTTTTTCTTAAGAAGTTATATTAGTACCATATATTAATCTTTAGTAACAAATAACTACCACAATAAAATATTTTTTTCCTCCCAAAGTTAAATTGGCTATTTGAGAGTAGTGTTAGAATAATTTGTTTCACCACCACCTTCCTGTTATGAAAATTGAAAAGGATTTTCAAGAATCATCGTGTACCTGAAATTTAGAATATAATGAAACTAAAGCAACATACACCTGAAATTTCATTTTAATATTAGATTACAAGATCCTGTTTGATATGGAATAAACATTATTAAAACTTTTCCTGATGGATTTGCTAAAGACTTAATCAAAACAAATGATTATGGTTGCACTTGCGTAGGTACAGAGAAAAATATTCATAGAAGTGGACAATAAAATTAACATATCGGGAGAGGAGTTCCATTCCACTCCCCAAGGCATTCTAAAAGAGGATCAATAATTTTACCTTCACACATTGCTGTGAATAATTTGTCAAATTCTTCACCTGGTGACCTAACCTTTTCTCCCGTTAGCAACTCAGTTCCTAACTCTTCTCTCACAAACTTGTACAGAGGGTAAGATCTGCATTCTTGGATCTTGTTTGGAATTGCTGCTTTGCCACTCTCATAAGCAGCCCTTGCACTTTCAACTTCCTTTGGTAAGAGGGTCTTCAACTCCTCCTCAAAAGCTGTAATCTTTTGAAAGATTGATGTGTTAACATCCTTCTCGTTCTCTCCATTTACCAATGCGTGATCTACAAGCACTTGCCTAAGTTTTTGCATCAATGGGTATGTAGCACTGCAAGGGTCATCAATATAGGAAAATACATACTCCCTATCAACCACTTTCAGAAGATCCTTCTCACAAAATCTTGAAGGATGGAGTTCTCCATTGACACCTGTTGTAAGAGTCCTCTTGGCAACTTGACTAATGGTGTTCTTGACCGAGCTTTTCAAATTCTCCTCCAAATGCCTTAAGTCAATTGCTTGGCAAAGTGCGACCAAGAATGTGGAAGACATGAGCTTAAGGATCTCAATAGATTCATTTGTCTTCCTAGCTGAAATCAAACCCAAAGAGTTCACATCTTGGTTGTGTTGCTCAGCACTCTGGACATGGCTTGTTACTGGATTTGCAAGATATTGGAGTTCAGAGCAGTAGGAAGCCATGGCAATTTCAGCTCCCTTGAAACCATAATCTAAGCTAGGATTTCTGCTAGCAGTGAGATTTGAAGGCAGACCGTTGTTGTAAAAATCATTCACAAGCTCAGACAATTGAGCAAACATGAGTTTGCCGATAGATGCAAGAGCTAAACGTGTGTTGTCCATGGAGACTCCAATAGGTGTTCCTTGGAAATTACCACCATGCAATGCCATGTTCCTTGAAACATCAATAAGAGGGTTGTCATTCACAGAGTTAATCTCCCTCTCAATTGACTTGGTTGAGAAACGAATCACTTCAATGAGAGGACCAAGCCACTGAGGTGAAGTTCTA